AGTCTGTACTCGACTCTTCTGTAGTCCCTCGGCTTGATTATATTTTATAGTTTCTCGTCTAAGTACTATTCTAAAGCCTCTCGACTATAAGTAGGTCTATAGACTCTTGACTATAGAGAGTTCTTACGACTAAAGACAGTTCTATTGTCTCTCAACTATATAAAGTTTTCGACTATAGTTAGTTGTCTATATTCTCTTGCCTATACATAGTTCTATTGACTGCCAACTTAGTCTGTCGAGTATTGACTCTTCTGCAGTCTTTCGAAGATAGATTCTATAGCTAAAGTCTCTCGACTAAAAGCAATTCTATGGTAACTTGACTAACGACTATTCTGCTATCTCTCGACCATTAACAGTCCCATAGTCTTTCGATATATTTGTAGTCTCTGGGCTAAAGACTATTCTAAAGTCTTTCGACTGTAGACAGTTGTGTAGTCTCTCTAATAAGACCTAAAGAATGGACATCATTTGAGTATCTCGATTAGTTCAATTTGTAAAGGAAACTGTAACAGACCTTTTAACATAATAACAGTGTTGTATTTAACATTACCGTTATATGTAAGTTATAACCTAACTTTATTATTAATATTAACATAAAGTAAGAAAGAGAGCATTAGATTTAAAAAATAAAATTTTTTTATTAAAAAAAATGTTAAAAAAATAATTTATCGTTTTCATTTTAATGCAATTTTGTTCGTAAATTTTTTAAACAATTTTTATGTTTTTGTTTAGTATTATTCGTTTTGGTTTAGCATTTTAAACTAGTTATTAAATTATTCAATTTGTGATCGTTATTGTTCTTTTGAGAAATTGTTAAAAATATATATATATTATTTATTAAACTAAATAAATGTTTTTTTTTTATATATAAAACAAAGTTAAGAAAATATATTGTTAATTATTATTTAATAAAAAAAACTTAACTACTAATAATAGTTTTTTAGTAGTAGTAGTAGTAGTACTACAAGTAGTTCACAATCTACAGTTTTTAAATTTTGTTCTACAATACTATACGTTTAACACCACAGTCCATACAAAATTTTGCTTGTTCGAGTAGAAATCTACTGCCACATTCATGACAGAATTTTGACATTTTCATACTTGAGCTCATGGTGGAGTTAGAGGGATATTGCTGTAAAGATTCCAAATTTGTGTGAGAATTTGTGGCTCCTGTTAGTGTAGCGTGAGAGGGTGGTATTTCATAATTGTTGTTGTTATTATTATTATTGCTGTGGCGTTCATAACGCATTAGTTCCTCTAAATCCGGGTTGTTATTGTTATTATTGTAGAGTTGTTGCTGCTGTTTGTGAAAACTATTACTACTTGTTAAGGGTGGTAAAGCATGCTCCGAACTGCTGCTAGAAGAGGCACTTAATTGTCTAGAACGTCCCAGGGAGGTTTCCTCGGTAAGTGGGCGATTAGCTGTATTAGAGGTCATGGGACGACTACGATTAGTGTTGCGTTGGGTTGTTAGTTCCGAAGAACGTTGACGAGAGAGACTACAAAGAGAAAAAAAGGTTACAAATTGTGTAAAATGTTATAGTTTTTCTAAAATTTAAAATACCCACCTTCCATAGGCCGAGTCTGCACTCGTTTTCGAACTAACACCCAAACGTGAATTGGGCGAAGATAAAGGATAACCATCTAAGCTGCTTAATTCATCTGAGTCACCATAAGCATCACCGCTGGGAGTACCAGCTGTACGATTTATTTTTCTATTTGCGGCCGTCATATTAACCTTGCTATTCATATTCACATCCATGGGAGCAGTGGCAGTAGTCAGCCTTAAATTGCCTGCCATATCATCGCCCATTTGACGAAAATCTTCTTGCATTTTTTGCATTAAATTTTTGGCATTATTCAGCTGAACATTGGGCAAACGTTCGGCCATGGAGTGCGCGGAAAAGTTTTTTGTTCTACACATATTTTGGCCCGTTTCTCCTTCATCATCATCTGATATTTTACTAAACTTATTGTCATGGGCTGCATCTACTTCCACTTCTACCACGGTCTGTGGATTACCCACCATATGGCGTATGGAATTGGGTGAAATGGGTGATTTATCTAGATCATTTTGTTCCGTCTCTATGCTGATGAAAATCTCACGTTTTTGATTGAGACTATGATCCTTGAATTGTTCTGCGTTTGTGTTAAGGCAAAAAGTATCCGTTGATTTGGTGGTGGTGGTGCTAGCTGTTAGTTCATCGTATTTATTCCGGCTCCTAGTGTTAAGGGAAAAGGAATTAAATAGATTTTTGGGATGTTGAGGCAAAGAGGGAAATTGAAAGTGTTGCCCACTGCCGCTTGAGTGCGTTTGAGGCGTTAGGGGTGGGAATGTTTGTGGAGAGGAAGATTTTTTGAAATTCGTAGAGTTGTTGTTGTTGTTGTTGTGAGTGTTGTTGTGTGTATTGTTTTGTTGGTTTTGTGTCGCAGAATTCGTCATTAACATCGATCTTTGTTTTTTCGATGTGCGATTCATAAGAAATTCTCTACAATCTTTGAAGAGAGGAAATTGTTCTTCATCATTTTCAAATGATGATAGGAATTCCTCAAAATCAAAATCATCAAATGCCGGCAAAGGTGGTATAAAGGGGGCATCCACTGGATTCATCTGCTGGGAGCTTAATCTCGCAAAAGCCTTTTCATGTTCTCTTAGAAGATTGTGCTGCTGTAGAGTTTCTCCTTCCAGAGAAGAACGATTGGCGCCCTCATCATCGGCTGAACAAGAATCTCCTTCTGGGGAAGCATCATATAAGAATTGATTGCGTCCCAAACGCATGCGCCGTTTCAAAAGATTACGTCCTTCGGCTGAGTTACGTTGACTATTGGTTAACGGCTGCTGCTGCTGCTGCTGCTGTGGGGGAAGATGATTTTGATTTAGATTTAAATTATTATTTTGTTCTGGTTGTTGTTGTTGCTGTTTAACTGTGGGCAAAAACTTTGTATGCTGCTGAAGACTAGTTGCTGTTGTTGTTGTTTTCTTGGCCGGCGCCGAAGATTCTGATGAAGAGGAGGAAGAAAACTGTTCCACACGTGTTTCGGAAGTATCAGAATCTGAATGTTTAAAATCTGTTCGCTTCAGATTTAAATTAATTGGAAGATTATCACATTTATTTATCAGTTTGGGATCTATATAATCGGAACCCATAGAATTTTTACGTTCTGCATAAAGATGAGAAGAGTTCTTGACCGCTTTACTATTATCACCACCAAATATAGAACTTAAGGCCACTGGTTTGGGGGATTTAGGGGCGGCAGATTTCTGCTCCAGGTTTGTTTTAACATTCAAAGGTGTTAAGACCCCCGAAGGCTGCTGTACTTGTGGTGTTTGAGGTTTGCTTAAAGGTGTCACAGGTTTAGAGGACAATGGCGCCAAACGCTGCTGTCCATATTTGTTTATTTCCATTTCATTAGTGTTCTTAACATTTAACTCATAATTCTCATTAGTTTCACAGGCCGCCATAATATCCGCCTTAATATTTTTGGCCGAGTTTTGTTTACTCAAATTATTACTCTTATCCTTAAGCTCTTTAGCATTTAAGGGTCCATCTAGATTAGCTACCGGGTTGTAGTTATAGAACCAGCAGTAGAGGGTGTTTTGACCTCCAATAAAGTCTCCTTTTTAAGCTCTTTATCCGCAGTAGTTTGATTTAACTTCTCCAGCTCATGTTCATATTTTAAAAATACCGCCAAAGAATCAGTTTTTGAAACATATTTGGAAGCAGTATTATTGGTCGCTGCCACCTCGGGTTCCATTATATTAGGCGAAGCTGCTGCACTACTTCCACTAGCATTGGCTGCATTTATATTCAATTTCAAAGGTTGTTTACGATTCGAGGCCGAAGTATCTCTTCTTACCACCCGTGGACTTTTATTCACCGCAAAATCATTAACACATACCGATCTTACTGGCATTTCATCGTATTCTTCGGGCTTAAGGAAGTTTGTAGAAATGGGTCCTTCATCCGATAATCCCCTTTGTATGGTAGGACGATGTTTTTGCGCAAATAATGGTGGACGAGCCGATAACATGGGTGATCTTCTAGGTCCCCTCAAAGAGGAAGTGCGTCTAAAGCTAGAAGATCTGGCTAAAGTTGGAGTTTTTTGAGTTTGTTGTGGTATTTGTGATGTAGTCATTAGATTAGCTGTAGTATTATTTGGTGTTGAAGAGCTGAGTATAAGTGATGTAGACATTTTATTGATGCTACTGTTGTTGTTGGTGTTGTTATTACTATTCGGCGTAGCAGGCAAACTGGGCAGTTGTGGTGTTTGTGGAGTTGTGGACATATCAACGGATTCATTTGTTGGTGAGCACAACTCTTCGAGTTGGCGTTTGGCCGACAAAAAGGGATCATAATTGTCGGGCAAACCACTGAAAGTAGTGATGGAGTCAAGAAATATCATGTTAATAGAGTAATATTTCAGAATATATAAGTAAAAAGTTGTGGATTTATGTGACTTTAAAAGCTCTCTTTTAGTTAAGAATTTTAGTTTAATTTAGATCGTATTTCACAGTTGTCTCTATGGGAAGAATGTTCAAAACTTAAGTACTTAAGACTATACTATAGTCAGACTATAAATTAAACTATAGTCAGTCTATAAATTAAACTATAGACAACCTATATTCCAGACAATAAACTACTATAGGCTAGACTGTAGACTATAGACTAGACTATAGACTAGACTATATACTAGACTGTAGACTAGACTGTAGACTAGACTATAGACTATAGACTAGACTAGACTAGACCATAGACTAGACTATAGACTGGACTATAGACTAGACTATAGATTAGACTATAGACTAGACTATAGACTAGACTATAGACTAGACTATAGACTAGACTATAGACTAGACTATAGACTAGACTATAGGACTATAGACTAGACTATAGACTAGACTATAGACTAGACTATAGACTAGACTATAGACTATAGACTAGACTATAGACTAGACTATAGACTAGACTATAGACTAGACTATAGACTAGACTATAGACTAGACTATAGACTAGACTATAGACTAGACTATAGACTAGACTATAGACTAGACTATAGACTAGACTATAGACTAGACTATAGACTAGACTATAGACTAGACTATAGACTAGACTATAGACTAGACTATAGACTGGACTATAGACTAGACTATAGACTAGACTATAGACTAGACTATAGACTAGACTATAGACTAGACTATAGACTAGACTATAGACTAGACTATAGACTAGACTATAGACTAGGCTATAGACTAGACTAGACTAGACTATAGACTAGACTAGACTAGACTAGACTAGACTAGACTAGACTAGACTAGACTAGACTAGACTAGACTATAGACTAGACTAGACTATAGACTAGACTAGACTAGACTAGACTAGACTAGACTAGACTAGACTAGACTAGACTATAGACTAGACTAGACTAGACTAGACTAGACTAGACTAGGCTAGACTATATACTAGACTAGACTAGACTAGACTATAGACTAGACTATAGACTAGACTATAGACTAGACTATAGACTAGACTATAGACTAGACTATAGACTAGACTATAGAGTAGACTATAGACTAGACTATAGACTAGACTATAGACTAGACTAGACTAGACTATAGACTAGACTATAGACTAGACTATAGACTAGACTATAGACTAGACTATAGACTAGACTATAGACTAGACTATAGACTAGACTATAGACTAGACTATAGACTAGACTATAGACTAGACTATAGACTAGACTATAGACTAGACTATAGACTAGACTATAGACTAGACTATAGACTAGACTATAGACTAGACTATAGACTAGACTATAGACTAGACTATAGACTAGACTATAGACTAGACTATAGACTAGACTATAGACTAGACTATAGACTAGACTATAGACTAGACTATAGACTAGACTATAGACTAGACTATAGACTAGACTATAGACTAGACTATAGACTAGACTATAGACTAGACTATAGACTAGACTATAGACTAGACTATAGACTAGACTATAGACTAGACTATAGACTAGACTATAGACTAGACTATAGACTAGACTATAGACTAGACTATAGACTAGACTATAGACTAGACTATAGACTAGACTATAGACTAGACTATGGACTAGACTATAGACTAGACTAGACTATAGACTAGACTATAGACTAGACTATAGACTAGACTATAGACTAGACTATAGACTAGACTATAGACTAGACTATAGACTAGACTAGACTATAGACTCGACTATAGACTAGACTATAGACTAGACTATAGACTCGACTATAGACTCGACTATAGACTAGACTATAGACTAGACTGTAGACTAGACTATAGACTAGTCTATAGACTAGACTATAGACTAGTCTATAGACTAGACTATAGACTAGTCTATAGACTAGACTATAGACTAGTCTATAGACTAGACTATAGACTAGTCTATAGACTAGACTATAGACTAGACTATAAACTAGACTATAGACTAGACTATAGACTAGACTATAGACTAGACTATAGACTAGACTATAGACTAGACTATAGACTAGACTATAGACTAGACTATAGACTAGACTATAGACTAGACTATAGACTAGACTATAGACTAGACTATAGACTAGACTATAGACTAGACTATAGACTAGACTATAGACTAGACTATAGACTAGACTATAGACTAGACTATAGACTAGACTATAGACTAGACTATAGACTAGACTATAGACTAGACTATAGACAAGACTATAGACTAGACTATAGACTAGACTATAGACTAGACTATAGACTAGACTATAGACTAGACTATAGACTAGACTATAGACTAGACTATAGACTAGACTATAGACTAGACTATAGACTAGACTATAGACTAGACTATAGACTAGACTATAGACTTGACTATAGACTAGACTAGAGACTAAACTATAGACTAGACTATAGACTAGACTATAGACTAGACTATAGACTAGACTATAGACTAGACTATAGACTAGACTATAGACTAGACTATAGACTAGACTAGAGACTAAACTATAGACTAGACTATAGACTAGACTATAGACTAGACTATAGACTAGACTATAGACTAGACTATAGACTAGACTATAGACTAGACTATAGACTAGACTATAGACTAGACTATAGACTAGACTATAGACTAGACTATAGACTAGACTAGACTAGACTATAGACTAGACTATAGACTAGACTATAGACTAGACTATAGACTAGACTATAGACTAGACTATAGACTAGACTATAGACTAGACTATAGACTAGACTATAGACTAGACTATAGACTAGACTATAGACTAGACTATAGACTAGACTATAGACTAGACTATAGACTAGACTATAGACTAGACTATAGACTAGACTATAGACTATAGTTCATACTATAGTCCCGACTATACTTAGATAAGCCTATAGTCCAGACTATAGCCTAAACTATAGTTAAGACTAAACTATAATCTTTCACAAAAGACTCCAACTAAAAAAAAAATTGTTAGAATCTTCTTTACAACTACTTTTAAATATAAAAAAACTTGCGATACTTGTTGACTCACCCAAAAGTACCCCCCTTCCCTTAAACAACGAAAGTTGTACAAACCCTGCAATAAATGAAATCAATACCCACCTGACGGTAAATGACTTGTTACGTTTCAATTGTGGTGCTGGTGGTTCTTTTATAACCTTAATCTCTTTATCGAAAACACAACTATGCTGCTGCTCCTCCTCCTCAGCCACAAATCAATAGCATTTTCCTCATCATCATACTCCAGTTTTTCTACTCTAACACTTTCATTTATATTATTCCCTTTTAGACCGATAGATTTTAATTGTGGTGCTGATGTTACACCACAAAGTTCTAATGTGTCTGTAGGAAAAGGTTAGAACAGCTTTCATGGGTAAGGTATTCGAACAGCTTACAGTTTGTCTTAGAACTTGTTTACGTTTTGTTGGACAGATATTAAGAGACTTAAGACGTTCGGAGTTTTCACTTTTAGGTGTTGTGGGTGCTGTTCTTGACTGTTGGAGAGGAGGTGGTGTGCCTAGACGTGGTAATCTTAAAGCTTTTGGTGTTCTAGGAGTGTCAGGCTTTTCTTTTAAATGTTTGCTTTGGGGTTTTATGGTAGATTTTATGGGCGAATAATTTCGATATAAATCCTCGGAACTTTTGGAATATTTTATGGGTTTTGTTGTATTTAAAAGTTGCTCGGGATCATCATCTTTAAATTCTATTAGTTCATATGAAGGCTGCTCTAAGTCTCTTATAAAGGTGTGCGATTTGGTGGAGCTTTTTAAAGTCTTTAGGTCCAACTTTCCGAAATTGTCATTTACTTTAGAATCTGTTAAATCTTCCAAACTTTCCAAATCTTCTTTCTCAGATTCCTTTAGTTTGTGACGGCGAATTTCATCGGAATCTGTTAGACAATCTTTGTATATTTCCGTTTCTTGTGCGATTTTTTCATCTAAATGTTCAGGAGATTGTTCTGAATTGTTAGGATTTGAGATTTTTATTTTGCTGTTAAGATTTTCATCAGGTTTGGTATTATTTATTTGCTTTTGATTCACTTTACTCTCTTTGGCAGTAACATTATTTTCTGTTTCTTTGAGAGATTTGAGTTTATCTCTCTTCTCGGTTACTGGGCTCTCACCTAAAGACTTTTTCACAGCTTTAGCAAGATTTTTCTGTTTCAATAAGGATTTTATAGGAGTTATAGGTATATCAAGTTTTGGAACTGAGAGTAATATGGAATCAACTCTAATATTCTCATACACAGCGTCTTCACTGTCGCTTTCGCGGTCATAATCGGGATAAGATTGTTTCATTATCAAGTCTTGCTCTCTCAGTAAATGGGTGGATTGCTGCTGTTCTTCTAAAAACCATAAATCCTTAGTTGATTCAGTAAACTCTTGCTCCTTCTCTCTAGACTCAATTATGTTCCCTGAATCAAATTTATTGTTTTCAGTTAAATACTTAGGGAGATTAAAACAAAGATCCTCTTCCCTCTCTTCTCTTTTAAAAGTTGTTTCTTTGACCTCATTATACGGCTTGTCTAAAGCGAATATTTGCTTTTCCCTCTCAAAATATTGCTCCATGGTCAGTTTTATTTCCGACTCCTTGTCAATTTTACTGATTTGTTTGCTCCCATTTTCACTTTTTTCGTTAACTTTTTTAAAGAATTATAAAATGTTAAACTTTTTGTTAAATCCACATTTTCAGCTGGCGCTTCATTTGCTGTAATAATAAATTTTAGTAAAAATTTCATAAGAAAATTTATGTAATTTGTGTTTTTTTCATTTTCAATACTTGAATAATGTTTGGAAGATTTATCTGGTGTTATTCTGAGTTTCCTGTTTGTCGGTATACATTTTTTTAATTAATTCAGTTTCTTCTTAAGTTCTGCTTCGTTTCATAAGATGTGCTTTTTTTTTTGTCTGTTTATATTTATTAGTGTATTTTTTGTATTTTGGTGTGTAAATATGTATTTCTTTTGAAAAACTATACGCTTGAACTTGCATTTGCAGCATTAGTTCGCATGTCTTGCTAAAATGCAGAGAGCTAAATGCAGTGCACAATGGTCCTTATAGTAAGAAAAACTAAGCAGAAATAATGTTTATAAAAAGTCGAGTCTATAGTCTAGTGTATAGTCTGGTCTAAAGTCCAGTCTATAGTCTAGTCTATAGTCTAGTCTATAGTGTAGTCTATAGTCTAGTCTATAGTCTAATCTATAGTCTAGTCTATAGTCTAGTCTATAGTCTAGTCTATAGTCTAGTCTATAGTCTAGTCTATAGTCTAGTCTATAGTCTAGTCTATAGTCTAGTCTAGTCTATAGTCTAGTCTATAGTCTAGTCTATAGTCTAGTCTATAGTCTAGTCTATAGTCTAGTCTATAGTCTAGTCTATAGTCTAGTCTATAGTCTAGTCTATAGTCTAGTCTATAGTCTAGTCTATAGTCTAGTCTATAATCTAGTCTATAGTCTAGTCTATAGTCTAGTCTATAGTCTAGTCTATAGTCTAGTCTATAGTCTAGTCTATAGTCTAGTCTATAGTCCAGTCTATAGTCTAGTCTATAGTCTAGTCTATAGTCTAAACTATAGTCTAGTCTATATCTAGTCTATAGTCTAGTCTATATCTAGTCTATAGTCTAGTCTATAGTCTAGTCTATAGTCTAGTCTATAGTCTAGTCTATAGTCTAAACTATAGTCTAGTCTATATCTAGTCTATAGTCTAGTCTATAGTCTAGTCTATAGTCTAGTCTATAGTCTAGTCTATAGTCTAGTCTATAGTCTAGTCTATAGTCTAGTCTATAGTCTAGTCTATAGTCTAGTCTATAGTCTAGTCTATAGTCTAGTCTATAGTCTAGTCTATAGTCTAGTCTATAGTCTAGTCTATAGTCTAGTCTATAGTCTTAGTCGAATAGTCTAGTCTATAGTCTAGTCCTAGTCTAGTCAGTCTAGTCTATAGTCTAGTCTATGTCTAGTCTATAGTCTAGTCTATAGTCTAATATAGTCTAGTCTATAGTCTAGTCTATAGTAGTCTATAGTCTAGTCCTATAGTCTAGTCTATAGTAGTCTAGTCTATAGTCTAGTCTATAGTCTAGTCTATAGTCTAGTCTATAGTCATAGTCTATAGTCTAGTCTATAGTCTAGTCTATAGTCTATATCCTATAGTCTAGTCTATAGTCTAGTCTATAGTCTAGTCTATTAAGTCTAGTCTACTAGTCTAGTCTATAGTCTAGTCCTATAGTCTAGTCTATAGTCTAGTCTATAGTCTAGTCTATAGTCCTAGTCTATAGTTAGTCTATAGTCTAGTCCTATAGTCTAGTCTATAGTCTAGTCTATAGTCTAGTCTATAGTCTAGTCTATAGTCTAGTCTATAGTCTAGTCTATAGTCTAGTCTATAGTCTAGTCTATAGTCTAGTCTATAGTCTAATAGTCTAGTCTATAGTCTAGTCTATAGTCTAGTCTATAGTCTAGTCTATAGTAGTCTAGTCTACTATAGTCTAGTCTATAGTCTAGTCTATAGTCTAGTCTATAGTCTAGTCTATAGTCTAGTCTATAGTCTAGTCTATAGTCTAGTCTATAGTCTAGTCTATAGTCTAGTCTATAGTAGTCTATGTCTAAAGTCTTAGTCTAGTCTATAGTCTAGTCTATAGTCTAGTCTATAGTCTAGTCTATAGTCTAGTCTATAGTCTAGTCTATAGTCTAGTCTATAGTCTAGTCTATAGGTCTAGTCTATAGTCCTAGTCTATAGTCTAGTCTATAGTCTAGTCTATAGTCTAAGTCTATAGTCTAGTCTATAGCTAGTCTAGTCTAGTCTACTAGTCTAGTCTATAGTCTAGTCTATAGTCTAGTCTTATAGTCTAGTCTATAGTCTAGTCTATAGTCTAGTCTATAGTCTAGTCTATAGTCTAGTCTATAGTCTAGTCTATAGTCTAGTCTATAGTCTAGTCTATAGTCTAGTCTATAGTCTAGTCTATAGTCTAGTCTATAGTCTAGTCTATAGTCTAGTCTATAGTCTAGTCTATAGTCTAGTCTATAGTCTAGTCTATAGTCTAGTCCATAGTCTAGTCTATAGTCTAGTCTATAGTCTAGTCTATAGTCTAGTCTATAGTCTAGTCTATAGTCTAGTCTATAGTCTAGTCTATAGTCTAGTCTATAGTCTAGTCTATAGTCTAGTCTATAGTCTAGTCTATAGTCTAGTCTATAGTCTAGTCTATAGTCTAGTCTATAGTCTAGTCTATAGTCTAGTCTATAGTCTAGTCTATAGTCTAGTCTATAGTCTAGTCTATAGTCTAGTCTATAGTCTAGTCTATAGTCTAGTCTATAGTCTAGTCTATAGTCTAGTCTATAGTCTAGTCTATAGTCTAGTCTATAGTCTAGTCTATAGTCTAGTCTATAGTCTAGTCTATAGTCTAGTCTATAGTCTAGTCTATAGTCTAGTCTATAGTCTAGTCTATAGTCTAGTCTATAGTCTAGTCTATAGTCTAGTCTATAGTCTAGTCTATAGTCTAGTCTATAGTCTAGTCTATAGTCTAGTCTATAGTCTAGTCTATAGTCTAGTCTATAGTCTAGTCTATAGTCTAGTCTATAGTCTAGTCTATAGTCTAGTCTATAGTCTAGTCTATAGTCTAGTCTATAGTCTAGTCTATAGTCTAGTCTATAGTCTAGTCTATAGTCTAGTCTATAGTCTAGTCTATAGTCTAGTCTATAGTCTAGTCTATAGTCTAGTCTATAGTCTAGTCTAGTCTAGTCTATAGTCTAGTCTATAGTCTAGTCTATAGTCTAGTCTATAGTCTAGTCTATAGTGTAGTCTATAGTCTAATCTATAGTCTAGTCTATAGTCTAGTCTATAGTCTAGTCTATAGCCTAGTCTATAGTCTAGTCTAGTCTATAGTCTAGTCTATAGTCTAGTCTAGTCTATAGTCTAGTCTATAGTCTAGTCTATAGTCTAGTCTATAGTCTAGTCTATAGTCTAGTCTATAGTCTATAGTCTAGTCTATAGTCTAGTCTATAGTCTAGTCTATAGTCTAGTCTATAGTCTAGTCTATAGTCTAGTCTATAGTCTAGTCTATAGTCTAGTCTATAGTCTAGTCTAGTCTATAGTCTAGTCTATAGTCTAGTCTATAGTCTAGTCTATAGTCTAGTCTATAGTCTAGTCTATAGTCTAGTCTATAGTCTAGTCTATAGTCTAGTCTATAGTCTAGTCTATAGTCTAGTCTATAGTCTAGTCTATAGTAGTCTATAGTCTAGTCTATAGTCTAGTCTATAGTCTAGTCTATAGTCTAGTCTATAGTCTAATCTATAGTCTAGTCTATAGTCTAGTCTATAGTCTAGTCTATAGTCTAGTCTATAGTCTAGTCTATAGTCTAGTCTATAGTCTAGTCTATAGTCTAGTCTATAGTCTTAACTATAGTCTTAACTATAGTCTAGTCTATAGTCTAGTCTATAGTCTAGTCTATAGTCTAGTCTATAGTCTAGTCTATAGTCTTAACTATAGTCTTAACTATAGTCTAGTCTTAGTCTAGTCTATAGTTCTAGTCTATAGTCTAGTCTATAGTCTAGTCTATAGTCTAGTCTATAGTCTAGTCTATAGTCTAGACTATAGTCTAGTCTAGTCTATAGTCTAGTCTACACTCTAGTCTATAGTCTAGTCTAAAGTCTAGGCTATAGTCTATTCTACAGTCTACACTATAGTCTAGTTCATAGTGTGGTTCAGAGTTTAGATTTAGTCTGGACTATAATATAGTCTATAGTATGTGCTATAGATTGTTGTATAGTCAGGACTATAATATAGTCAATAGTCTGTTTAATAGTTTGTTTTATAGTCAGGACTACTATATATTCTAGTCTATAGTTGGTTTATAGTCTGGACTTTAGCCTCTATAGTCTGCACTATAATTTGGACTAAAGTTTAGTCTATATTGTGTACTATTACTATTATCTCTATTATAGTTTTAATTAAAATTTGCTCCCCTTCCTCACCCACTGTTCCGGTTTAAAATTTAATAGCGAATTATTATGCATTTCTTCAGGTTCTGTTTTTTTTTTTTTTGTTCTTTTGGTCGTTTAAAAGTAAAATAAACAGTTTGTTTATGTTTTATAATTGCGCTGCATTACTTCAAGTGTTCTATAGTAGCTGCCTGTTAGCTGCTACATCGTTCGTCTCAAGTATGGAGTCATATGCAAAACATAAATAATAATTATTATTCTGCTTTAGATGTGATGGGCTCACTTCTTTAAATCGCCTTAGTTTTTCATTTATTAAGAATTATTATTATTTTTTTTTTTTTGTGTTCGAAATTTAATGGTTTATATTACAAATGAGGCAGGCGGGTAGTGAAGAAAAAAAGTTCAATGGCATTAGAATGAGCTGATGTAGAAGATATTATTCTGAGGAATTTTGTTCTAGCTATCATTGTATGTAACTGAATGGATTATATTGATATAATCAGATCATTTTGTGGTGTTAAAAATTTTTAGAGAATTTTATAGTTTTTTTCACATTTTTGATCAAAAACTTTTTAAATTTCATTAAAATGAAGAGCTTTTGTGAAAAGCTTTTTCATTCGAAGGAAGGTCAATATCCCAGATTAACTTTGGAACCACAAATAGTATTGAAAACTAAAAAAACACAAATCCAAATTCTACTTTTAACAAACATTTTCGAATACCTTTAGATTGCACCTCATTATGATTTAAAACATTATTATTAACAACATGATTATCATGATCATCATCAACAAAAGCTTTATGTGTTGCTGCTGCTGCTGCTTGCAAACATTTGACGCGACGACGCATTGTTCTTAAAGACAAATCACTGACAGATTTCTTTTGTTCTAAGGAGACGTTCGTTGTTATAACCGGTAAATTTATCTCAACATCCGTTGTTTTCAATTTCTGATTAGATTTTTTTGTTGTTATTTGTTGGTGTTTCTTGAAATCTGGTAGCGGTTGCTGCTGTTGAAGATGTTTTCGATTTTGTGGTTTTATTTTAGCCGCTGTCAAAGCATCCACTTTTAGTTTTTTATTTATAGCGGTCGCAGTCATTTGTTCACCCATAAGTTGTAGTTCTGGCATTTGAATTTTAAGATTTATGATGGATTCTTCTAGTTTTTGTTGTATGTACTCTGCTGTTGCTTTAGCAACTGCATGCTTTTTTATTGTTGTTGTAGGTGGCTGTTGAGCAGTTTGACGTTTGTCACGAGTACATTTACGACTTCCTACAGAGCAATTGTCTATATTTGTATGTTCTTTAGTAGTTGCTGTTTCCACTGGTTCATTTAGTTTTCCTGTTGTGCAGGAATTCGTGATTTTTCTGCATGTAATTAAAGAGATTTCGAAAGAGTTTTGTCAACAATGGGGAGCTTAATGTTACAGGGTTGGTGACACCTCTAAAGCTTTTAGATTCCAATATATATATAAACAACATGGTGTACAACAGAAAAAATTAACCACAAAATCTACTTCTACTTAAATTGTTACACAAAATTAAAAAAAAAAAAAACATGAAGTTTACTTAAACTACTAATAATCTACAGTTAATTAAACTAAGTATTGCTAGTTATTACTAAAAGAGAGCTTTTTTTTTTAAATTAAACTTTTAATAATTTTTGTTAAAGTTTCTTAATTTCTACTTACCTTTCGCTACACATGGAAGAGGTCATGGACATAGACATTAAACTATTGTCTTGAGTTTTGCTGCCATTGGTTTTAGAAGTTTTGGTTGTGTCATCGTTTTCATGCTCTTCGCCAGCTAAACCGGAATATTTTTCACGGTTCATGGAACGTTTGGTTCTAGGAAATTAAAAGAAAACAGAAATTAACAAAAATATATTTTTTTAAACAGCAATCTAGTCTGAAATCTAGTCCAGTCTATAGTCTGGTCTATAATCTAGTCTTTAATCTGGACTATAATCTAGTTTATAGTCTCGAATATAGTCTATTCTAGTCTAGTCTCTAATTTGTACTATAATTTAGTCTATTGTCTAACCAATAGTCTGGTCCACATTTTGGACTATAGTCTAGTTCATAGTTATTTTACTGTTTTTTACTATTTTACTATTTTACTAGTCGGTCACACTATAGCCTAATCTATAGTCTGGACTAAACGCTAGACTATAGTCTGGACTAAAGGCTGGTATATACTCTGAACTAAATGCTACTCTATAGTCTGGACTATAGTCTAGTCTACAGTCTGAATTATATTGTAGTCTATAGTCTGGACTATAGTGTAGTTTATAGTCTGGACTATAGTCTAGTCCATAGTCTGGACTATAGTCTAATCTATAGTCTGGACTGTAGTCTAATCTATAGTCTGGACTGTAGTCTAGTCTATAGTCTGGGCTATAGTCTAGTCTATAGTCTAGTCTATAGTCTGGGCTATAGTCTAGTCTATAGTCTGGACTACAGTTTAGTCTATAGTCTGAACTATAATCTAGTCTATATTCTGGAATATATCTTAGTCTATAGTCCAGTCTTTAGTCTGAACTATAGTCTAGTCTATATTCTGGACTATAATCAAGTCTATAGTTTGGACTATAGTCTAGTCTATTGTCTTGATTATAGTGTAGTCTATAGTCTGGACTATAGTCTAGTTTATAGTCTGGACTATAGTCAAGTCTATAGTCTGGATTATAGTCTAATCTATAGTCTGGACTATAGTCTAATCTATAGTCTGGACTGTAGTCTAGTCTACAGTCTGGGCTATAGTCTAGTCTATAGTCTAGTCTATAGTCTGGACTATAGTCTAGTCTATAGTCTGGAGTATAGTCTAATCTCTAGTCTGGGCTATAGTCTAGTCTATAGTCTGGGCTATAGTCTAGTCTATAGTCTGGGCTAGTCTAGTTTATAGTCTGAACTATAGTCTAGTCTATATTCTGGAATATATCTTAGTCTATAGTCTGGTCTATAGTCCAGTCTTTAGTCTGCACTATAGTCTAGTCTATATTCTGGACTATAATCTAGTCTATAGTTTGGACTATAGTCTTGTCTATGGTCTACTCTATAGTCTGGACTATAGTTTAGTCTATAGTCTGGGATATAGTCTAGTCTATAGTCTGCGCTATAGTCTAGTCTATAGTTTGGTCTATAGTCTAGTCTATACTCTGAACTACAGTCTAAACTCTGGACTATTGTCTAGCCTATAGTCTTATCTATAGTCTAGCCTATTGTCTATCTAATGTTCAAATACTTACTTCAAACATGGAGCTCGATACTTGGTACGAGCCTCCAAACGGGCCTTAGCTACATTGCCATCATTCTTAGTACCACCCTGTTTAATAGCGGCCTGTAAAGCCTTCTCTTTGCACCATTCAACATGACGATCGTAGGCTTTAATACCAAAACATCTTTCACAATGAGGACATTGCTCAGCCGGAGGTGGTTGAATACCTCTCGATCTAGTTAAGGAACGTTCGGAAGAACGCATACGATCACGATTAAAGTTTGTGGAAGTTGCCGTAGTAGAGGTGGGAGTATTATTGTTAGAGAAAACCGCTTTACGCATAGAAGCACGAGCTGTAGATCTTATTAGATCTTCTGCTGGTTTTTTGCGTGTCAAATTGGGAGAGGAGATCTATAAAAAGTTTATTTAGGATAAGATGTATTAATCACCTTAACTACTTGTTGCTACTGTTACTTACCTGGGCAGCTGGCTTGGGTGATTGTCCCCTTTCATTTCTAGTCTGTGTTATGGAAGTACTCGATGTGGCTTTCTCGGGTAAACCGAAATTTTTAGGCAATGGATATGTAGCCAAATCAGTACCCTCACGTCTTTGCCGTGAGGAATCGAATATGTTGCGCTTTTTTGTAGTCATTTTCTCACAAATACCCACATGTTTTCTTAAAGTTACCGGATTAAAGGTACGCGAACATATGGGACAAGGAACCAGCTCAAGGCTGGCATCAGGCTCCTCAGTGGGCGTGGTAATATTGTTGCCGTTGTCTAAAAGTGTTTAAAATATTTAAAGAAATATAAGTTGGATAGTCTTTTTTGGCGTAAAAAGTAAAAAATATAAAGAAGTTGTTTGGTGAATAAACAATTTGAAATTGACAATTATTTCTTAATTTGAAATACAGTAGAATCTCGAGCATTGTGTTAGTACATTGAACAAGTTATTTAATGTATTTTTAGAAAATCTGATATGATCGACACTATAGATTAATCTGAAGTCTAGACTATGGACTAGGAAAATTTGTTTCAATAAACCAGCAAAACATCTATTGATTGATTTTAAAAATTACCAAAAACTTTTCACTCTACCCTCCTATATAACACTTAACCACCTACATGACTGCTTTAAATCTTTTCAAAATCATTATAAAGATCTTTTTCATGTTCTGAAAAACATTTTGTAAATATAATTATTTAAATCTCTAAATTTTAGAGATTTTTTTATACACTTAAACAAAAGATTTGTTAACATGAACGTATCTGATCAAAATTTACACACGTTCAGATGTCAAAATCTAAATCCATTCATTAAGACCAAAAAAAGAGGCGCGTGTTACACACTCATATCACATAAGAAATAAAAAGTGTTTTAGAATAAAAATGCAAAAAAAAAAATAGAACTATAAAATAAGAATGAGGTTTAAAAAATGAAGAATGGAAATGGAATATGTTGGCTGCCAGTTGGCTAGGTTGTTTTGTCCATATACAACAAAAAAAAAGAACTAAAACAATAAATAAGAATAATAAAAAACAAAAATTAACTAGTGGGTGTCAATCAAAATCTGTTGTTAATTGTATGCAAACAACAACAATAACAACAAGAAATTGACATACTTTAGATTGGAGTAAAAATAAAGACGGAATTGAATAATAAATAGATGTTGTATAGATGTCTTGTTTAACACAAAATGACACAAAGTGCCAGTAAAAGCAGGTGTTTTACAAATATATAGAATAACCAAAGTAAAGATATGTATGTAAGCGAGTATATGGAAAGAAGTAAGAGTGTTATATTCGGCTTACATATACATCTTTTTTGAGACTATAGTCCATAGACTAGACTTTAGACTAGACTACTACAGACTTGACTATAGACTAGATTGTAGATTATAGACTAGATTGTAGATTATAGACTAGATTGTAGATTATAGACTAGATTGTAGATTATATACTCGACTATAGACTAGACTATAGACTAGACTATAGACTAGACTATAGACTAGACTATAGACTAAACTATAGACTAGACTAGACTATAGACTAGACTATAGACTAGACTATAGACTAGACTATAGACTAGACTATAGACTAAACTATAGACTAGCCTATAGACTAGACTATAGACTAGACTATAGACTAGACTATAGACTAGACTATGGACTAGACTATAGACTAGACTATAGACTAGACTATAGACTAGACTATAAACTAGACTATAGACTAGACTTTAGACTATACTATGGACTGGACTACAGACTTGACTATAGACTGGACTACAGACTTGACTATAGACTAGACTATAAACTAGATTGTAGATTATGGACTCGACTATAGACTAGACTATAAACTAGATTGTAGATTATGGACTCGACTATAGACTAGACTATAGACTAGACTATAGACTAGACTATAGACTAGACTATAGACTAGACTATAGACTAGACTATAGACTAGACTATAGACTAGACTATAGACTAGACTATAGACTAGACTATAGACTAGACTATAGACTAGACTATAGACTAGACTATAGACTAGACTATAGACTAGACTATAGACTAGACTATAGACTAGACTATAGACTAGACTATAGACTAGACTATAGACTAGACTATAGACTAGACTATAGACTAGACTATAGACTAGACTATAGACTAGACTATAGACTAGACTATAGACTAGACTATAGACTAGACTATAGACTGGACTATAGACTAGACTAGACTGTGGACTAGACTATAGACTAGACTATAGACTAGACTAGACTGTGGGCTAGACTATAGACTAGACTATAGACTAGACTAGACTGTGGACTAGACTGTGGACTAGACTATAGACTAGACTATGACTATAGACTAGACTATAGACTAGACTATAGACTAGACTATAGACTAGACTATAGACTAGACTATAGACTAGACTATAGACTAGACTATAGACTAGACTATAGACTAGACTATAGACTAGACTATAGACTAGACTATAGACTATAGACTAGACTATAGACTAGACTATAGACTAGACTATAGACTAGACTATAGACTAGACTATAGACTAGACTATAGACTAGACTATAGACTAGACTATAGACTAGACTATAGACTAGACTATAGACTAGACTATAGACTAGACTATAGACTAGACTATAGACTAGACTATAGACTAGACTATAGACTAGACTATAGACTAGACTATAGACTAGACTATAGACTAGACTATAGACTAGACTATAGACTAGACTATAGACTAGACTATAGACTAGACTATAGACTAGACTATAGACTAGACTATAGACTAGACTATAGACTAGACTATAGACTAGACTATAGACTAGACTATAGACTAGACTATAGACTAGACTATAGACTAGACTATAGACTAGACTATAGACTAGACTATAGACTAGACTATAGACTAGACTATAGACTATAGACTAGACTATTGACTAGACTATTGACTAGACTATAGACTAGACTATAGACTAGACTATAGACTAGACTATAGACTAGACTATAGACTAGACTATAGACTAGACTATAGACTAGACTATAGACTAGACTATAGACTAGACTATAGACTAGACTATAGACTAGACTAGACTGTGGACTAGACTATAGACTAGACTGTGGACTAGACTATAGACTAGACTATAGACTAGACTATAGACTAGACTAGACTGTGGACTAGACTATAGACTAGACTATAGACTAGACTATAGACTAGACTATAGACTAGACTATAGACTAGACTATAGACTAGACTATAGACTAGACTATAGACTAGACTATAGACTAGACTATAGACTAGACTATAGACTAGACTATAGACTAGACTATAGACTAGACTATAGACTAGACTATAGACTAGACTATAGACTAGACTATAGACTAGACTATAGACTAGACTATAGACTAGACTATAGACTAGACTATAGACTAGACTATAGACTAGACTATAGACTAGACTATAGACTAGACTATAGACTAGACTATAGACTAGACTATAGACTAGACTATAGACTAGACTATAGACTAGACTATAGACTAGACTATAGACTAGACTATAGACTAGACTATAGACTAGACTATAGACTAGACTATAGACTAGACTATAGACTAGACTATAGACTAGACTATAGACTAGACTATAGACTAGACTATAGACTAGACTATAGACTAGACTATAGACTAGACTATAGACTAGACTATAGACTAGACTATAGACTAGACTATAGACTAGACTATAGACTAGACTATAGACTAGACTATAGACTAGACTATAGACTAGACTATAGATTAGACTATAGACTAGACTATAGACTAGACTATAGACTAGACTATATACTAGACTATAGACTAGACTATAGACTAGACTATATACTAGACTATAGACTAGATTGTAACGCATCCCGACAAAACGATTTATCAGTCAATAAAATAGTCTGGACTATAATCCAGAATATAATCTGAACTATAGTCCCTATAAAGGCGAAGACTATAGTATAAAGGCGAACTATGCTATGCTGAGACCCCCTCCATCATTTATACTAACTACCTTCTTACCTCTAATTCAACAATTTCTTTTGACGTTAATTATATTAGAGTAAAGTAAAATAAATAGATATTTAAATATAATCAGTGTTGATTTAACATGTAATTTGAGAAAAAAAAAATACTGAATTAAAATGTTTCAACATTAGTGCATAAACTTTTTTCTACATTCACTTTTTTAATTCATGTATTTTTTTTTTTCTTGAAGTTATCTCTGGAGGATTTTTAAATTTCTTTCTTTAATAAGATTTTTTTTTCGCTGAAATTAATTATTTAGCAAACAAAATAAAAATAAAAACAAACATAAAAAATACAAATAAATATATCGTTATTTTTGCAGTACTACATACTAAATGTTTTAATATTAGACTTTCTTTTCTATTTTTGTGTGTTTTTTATTATTTCTGTTTTAATTTTTATTTGAGTATTAAACAAACACGATTTATAATCATTTTGTGTATTTTAGCATATTGATAAGAAATTTAACATTGCGGGTAGATATCTTGGTATGTGAACTACATGTACGAACATAATTTACATTGAAATGTATGAGTAATTTTTAAATAAAATTGGGGGTATTCATAGTACAGATTATAGTTTAAACTATAGTCCAAATTATATTTCACATAATAGTCTAGATTATAGTAGAGACTATATACTATAAGTCTAGACTATAAGCTATACTAAAGTCCTGATTATAGGACGAACTACAGTTCAGACTTTAAACTTGATTATAAACTAAACTGTAGATCAGTCTTTTGATTAGATTGCAGTACAGACTTTAGACTATATCCAGATTATAGTATAACACATAGTCCAGACTAAGCTCTCCAGCTTACTCTAGATTATAGAATATAATATGGTCTTTACTATAGATTAGACCATAGATCTAACTGCAGAGTAGAATATATAAGACTAGTATACAAGAATACAGAGACAAAAAACCAGACTATTAACTAGACTATAATCCAAAATATAGACTACACTATAGTCCAGAATAAAGACAATACTATAGTCCAGATTATAGACTAGACTATAGTCCCGACTATAGAACAGTTTAGTTCTAGTTCAGTTCTAGTTGAGTCTAGTTGAGTTCTAGTTGAGTTTTAGTTCAGTTCTAGTTCAGTTCTAGTTCAGTTCTAGTTCAGTTCTAGTTCAGTTCTAGTACAGTTCTAGTTCAGTTCTAGTTCAGTTCTAGTTCAGTTCTAGTTCAGTTCTAGT